CGTCGCTGCCTCGGCACCCGCCGCGCTGTTGGATTTTCAAGCTGCGTTCGGGACTGTTGGCGCCGGGAATTCGGAGCGAGGGATTTCCCGGACTGTGCGGGTGCTGGCCTGGGACCACGTAACCTCCTCGCCGCCAGCGGTACCGGGGTTGTCCCCCCTCATCGTGTAACTGATCTCTTGGGGGAAGTGCAGCAAATGGGGTCTGTCCCCCCAGCATGACGGCGGTGCTGGCAGCACCCTCAGGACCGGGGGAGGAATCGAATGCTCAGTGGCCATCACTGCCTTTCGCAGAGGAACAGAGACAGGGCCTTCAGCCGAGCCGGAGGAGATGATCCTCAGACCGCAGAGTCGGGGGGACCCGGGTGTCCCCGTTCCCAAGGGGACCGACCCCGCTGGAGCTCGTGGGACCAGCCGGCGGCTCCGGGGGGGCGGCGTTTCAATCTGTCCTGTGCCTTACGCGGTTACAATCAAGGAGTGATGCTCGACTCGGAGTCGGGTGTGATGATGCAGCAGCTGTGTTGACTTTGCGTTTGTGTGTGTGTGTGTGTGTGTGTGTGTGTGTGTGAGTCTGGGAAGAAAGGGGTCTTCTCGGGGTGCAGGAGGTCTCTGCTGGGTACACCCACGGACGGATGCCCGGGACCCCTGCCACGGGCTGAGGGCTGTTTAAATGACAATGGTGTTTAAATGCTGTTGATGCTGGCAGGGCTCAGCACCAGCCAGATCACGTTGGGAACCATCAGGATTCCGGTGGGAGCTGAAGGGAATCTCCGCGAGGATGGCTCTGCTCAGCCACAGCTCTGCTAATCCATGCCCGTGCTGCTATGCTGGGGCTGGGAGGATGCCAATGTGTTTTGGAAATGAAGCTGTAGGAAGAGCCCAGGGGGGTCTTTGTAAAACCCAAGCGAGTGCCTAAAATTAGGCAGAGAGGACCAGTGCTTGTGGATCTGGGTGCCTTCTCCTCCATGCCTTGTGGGACCATCCCCAGGTACAGGGAAGGGGGATGTCATCTCCCTGGTGGTGCCTAAGGGAGCAGCTGCAGGATCATGGAGCCTCAGACCAGGGGAGTGGATCTGTGGTGGTCGAGGGGAGCTGGAAGGAGATTTCTTCCCACAGTAGATTTAAAGTTGTAGGAGAAAATGGGCCAGTTGAAAGCAGAGCTGGGCTGTGGCCTCTGACCAGCTGGAAAACTGGTCAGAGTTTTCCAGCAGTGGCCTCTGTCCCTGCTGGAAAACCTTGGCAGGGAGCACGCACAGAATCCCTGGAAGGTAATTAAATAATTAATCAGATCTTGGTTGTTTTGGATAAATTAGTTGCTCCAACCCACCTCCCCCTTCCCTGCGGAGTTATCTAGTTCCACCTGGCTCAGCAAAGGGTTAAATAAGAAGGTATTGGGAGGTTCCATCCTCAGGCCAGCACCAGACACAGGTTTATTTTAACACTGACGTTCATTGAAAATGAAAAGTGTTGCTTAGACTTAAGAGGAAAGTGAGAAATTGGTTGTTTGTGTGAATACATCCTTGAATTCTTCCGCATGGAGATCAAGGCTTTGCAGTGCTGGTGTGGCGGTGGGAGTGTTTCTGCATCCTTAGCTCTGAAAAGAGAAGCAAAATTTAAGAGGTTGCCCAAAGAAGCTGTGGGTGACCCTTCTCTGGAAATGTTCAAGGCCAGTTTGGACGGGGCTTGGAGCAACCTGGTCTAGTGGAAGGTGTTCCTGCCCGTGGCAGGGTGCTTGGAACAAGATGACCTTTAAGATCCCTTCCAGCCCAAAACATTCGATGATTTCATGATTCTAAGGGTTATTTCAGTTTTAAAATAATGAAACTCTGTGAGTGTTAGGGCAAATTAAAAGACATAGCTAAAATAATTCCCTGTAAGTTTGCCTGAAAGCTGCAGAGGCTGGTTATTGCCTAGGCTGGGATCTGGGGAAGCTGGGGGGCAGTGATGGAGCAGCACTGGGGGTTTGTGCCAGTTGACCATGGCAGTGATGGACAGCTTTCCTTGAGGGGGCAAAGTCACCCCTTGCCAAGGGGGAATGAAGGACTTTATTCTGTGAACAGGACCAAACCCATCAGTCTGAGCAGTAATATGGGATGGCTGGAAACAAATACAAGGGAAAAAAAAAATCAACTTTGGCTGGGAAGGGGCTTGGCAGAAGAGAGCAACAAAGTACGTGTTCACCAAAAAAAAAAAAAAATCAAAACCATTTTTAAGCTGTTTTCTTCTCTTTCATTGAATCTGGTTTGGGTTTTCTCAGTCCTTCAGTGGTGGGTGGGTGTTTTCCTTCTCTCCAAAGCCTTGAGAGCAAAAGGCTCTCAAGCCCAAAACACTCCCAGGGCCCTCAAACCACCCAAACATCCCGTGGATGGATGTGGCTCGTGGGGATGTGTGTGTGTGTGTGTGTGTGTGTGTGTGTTTGAGACACTCCTCAGGTGCCTTTGCCTCTCTGGTTTGTAAAACCCTTGCAGTGTTCTGATGTACAGAATGGAACCAGGAAAAGCGAATGGAATATCCTGCCATGTAAAGTCATTTTCTGTTGGTTTGGTTTGGTTTGATTTTATTTTACTTTGCCTGTAGCAGGCCCTGCAGCTTCCCCTGTGAGCTGCATCCCCCGGTATCCATGGAGAAATTAATTCCCCTTGGGAAGGAGGCTGGAGTGGGATATTGGAACAGGCTGCCCAGGAAAGTGGTGGAATCAACATTACTGGAAGTGTTCAAAAAGTGTGTGGGTGTGACACTTGGGGACGTGGTTTAGTGTTGAACATGGTTGGACTCGATGATCTTGAAGGTCTTTCCCAACCTTAATGATTCCACAATCCTACATTTCCATTGCCTGTCCCCTGCTCACCAGTACAGCCCCTTCCCAGCAGGGCAGGGGCACAAAGGACACCTGGTTTGACCATCCCAGGGCAGCAGCGGGGCCAGAGGGTGACAAGGAGATGATGATTCCCAGGGTTCTCTGGAACTAATGGATCTGTGCAGTTCTCTGACCCGATGGCTCTGCGTGTCCCTTTGTCCTGACATCCCACCTTGTATTCCAAACACATAGGCTTTTATAATTTTAAATTTAATATAATTTTTGTTTATTTTTATTTCAAAATTTTATTTTTTCTTTATTTCTATTTCTTCTTCATTCCCCCTCTTCCCCCCTCTTTTCCTCTTTTTTTCTTTTTCCCTTTTTTCTCTTTTCCTTTTTTCTCCTTTTTTCCTTTTTTTCCTTCTCTCCTGCATTTTTCTTTTTTCCTTTTCATCCTTTTTTCCTGCTTTTTCCTATATTTTTTCCCATATTTTTTTCTTTTTTATCCTTTCTCCTTTTTTCCCTTTTTCATTTTTTTCCTTTTTCCCTTTTTTCTTTTTTCTCCTTTTTTCTCCTTTTTTCTCCTTTTTTCTCCTTTTTTCTCCTTTTTTCTCCTTTTTTCTCCTTTTTTCTCCTTTTTTCTCCTTTATTTCTGCTTTTTTCCCCCTTTTTTTCTCCTTTCCCCCCGCTTTTTCCTGTTTTCTTTTTTCTCCTTTTTTCTTATCTTTACTCCTTTTTTTCTCCTTTCCCCCCGCTTTTTCCTATTTTCTTTTTTCTCCTTTTTTCTTATCTTTACTCCTTTTTTTCTTTTTCCTTTTTTCTCCTTATTTTCTTTTTTCTTATCTTTACTCCTTTCTTTCCTTTTCTTCCCTTTATATTTTTCCCTTTTTTTTCTCCCCTTTTTCCCGCCTTTTAATTTTTATTATTTTGTTTATTTTTTTCTTTATCAACCCGATTCCTTTACTTCAAATTTCCCTATTTACCCCAACACCTATTTAAATTTAAGCTCAGCCTTGTGGGTTCGCTGGGCTCGGCTTGGCCGTTCGGGGGCGGAGCGCGGGTTACCCCGGGGGGCGTGGCCATGCAAATGAGGAGGGACTGTGACTATCACCGCCCCCAGTATGCAAATGAGGAGGGCAATAACAATAGAGATGGCTGTATGTAAATAAGGGGGCGGAGTCATGCAAATGAAGAGGGCTGTGACCATCCCGGGAGCCTGCACGTAAATGAGGGGGCCGGGCCATGCAAATGTCCGCCGTCAGTGACAAGATGGCGGCGGCGGCGGCGGCGGGGCAGCTGGTGCTGGCACCTCTCGGGGCCGCCTCGCCGAGGGCTGTGCCCTGTGCCGGGGCCCCCGCGGGCGCCAGCCCCGACGACGTGGTGGTGGTGCACGGCCGCAGGACCGCCATCGGCCGCGCCAGCGCGGCGGCTTCAAGGTACGGATGGAGGTCCTGCCCGCCTGCCCCCCCCGCCTGCCCCTCACAGGTGCTGGGATCCCCTTCCTCGCGTACCTGGGTGCTGGACGCCCAGCTGCCGCCCAGGAGCTGCTCTACTCTGAACAAGTGTAAAAAAAAGAACGTTTTGCGATGGTTTTAATGCTCGGGGTGGGTGGTCCAGGTGTGGCAGGGCCGGTGGCGTCCCCAGAAGAGCGGGGCAGTGTCCCGAGGGGTCTCCTGGGACCAGCCACAGTCTCCGCTGTCACCTGCCCTGGCACGCGGAGCATCCCCTTGGAAAAGCAGCGTGGCCTTCACCTCCTCGGACCTGCCACCCTTCTGGAGCCCGCGGCCACAGAGCCCTCAGCGAGAACGTAGTGCCAGGATGGCCCTGAAGGATGCGCGTTGTCATCCTTCAGAACGGGTCTCGTCATGCCGGCGGTGCTTCCCACCAGCTGAGGGGCCACAAAATAAATTCTTTCACAAAATTAGTCAAGGGGCTCAGTTTGCTGAATCTTGTCACATAACTCACTGTAGTTTGATTTTGAAGGCCCAATACAGTGTGTTCCTATAAAAACGGAGGTCAGGTGAGAAAGCAGTGTGTGTGTTCAATTGCTTGAAAGACACTTGGGGTGAAGACAGAGTAACTCTGTTGCAGCAGGAAAACAACAACCAGTGTAAGCTGAGAAGAAGAGTAAAGCTGCCTTAGCCCTCTGGAGTGGTCTGGGGGTGAACTGGTGGCAGGGCTGTGACTGGTGTTTGCTGGTGGCACTGATCCCCTGTGCTCTCAGGACACGACACCCGACGAGCTGCTGGCTGCTGTGATGACAGCTGTCCTCCAGGATGTCAACCTCCGTCCTGAGGTCCTGGGAGACATCTGTGTGGGTGAGTGAGAACCTCCTGGCCCGGGTGGCTCTGTGGGTCACACTGCTCCTGGTGTCCCGTGGGATACTCATGGGGTTGGGAGGGGTTAGTGTGCAGCGTTGGGTTTAGGAAGGCAGTGTTCCTATTTCATGCCTGTCCTGTCCGTGGTAGGGGGATCTGGGTGCTGAGTGGTGCTGAGCTGGGGTGATGGGAACATCCCTTTGATGCCCGCAAGGGGAATGTAACTCATTGACTGGAATTGTATCTTTGCACTCAGGGAACGTGCTGCAGCCTGGAGCTGGTGCCTTGATTGCAAGAGTTGCACAGTTTCTGAGGTAAACTCCCAACCAGGCTGAGGTTCTCCCTCTGCTCCCCAGGCCTTGGCTGCAGAGCAGGGATTGGAGGTTGTGGTGGGGCTCATGCACTCCCAGGAATACACCAGTCCACCTTTTGCCTAGAAACTAGACTTTGGTCGAGTGTTTGGAGAACACTGATGGCAAAGGGATGGGGAGGCAGAGGTGAGGCTGTTTAATCTGTTTGTGCTGCCTCTGAATGGGAGATCTTGTTTTGTGGGCTCCCAGCTGCACCTGGTGCTTCTCCAGACTGGGAGGCTGTGCTTCTCTCTGCTGTGCCTGATCCCAAAACCATGGAGTGGGCTCAGATCTTTCTGTCATTGTCCAGTGTTGGTGGTCAATGGCTAATAGTGAGCTGGATCCCAGATTCCAAATATTTCAGTCACTGTCTGTTGCTGTTGTTTGCTTCTGTCAGTCAGTGCATTACCACCACTTTGGACAGGTGCTGGAACAGCCCACCAATAATTAGGAATATTGCAAAACTTTTCAGGGTTTCTGGCCCAGATCAGAACTTGAGATCTAGGCCCAGGAGAGAGTTCTGCTCAAAGAGGACCTTCTGAAGACAGACTCATGGGGAAACAGCACTCAGAGCCACTTGCCAATCAAGTGTGGAAGTTATCTTTGAACTTTGCTTTCCCTTGGTGCAGGACCAAATAGGTCAACAAATGTATAAAGGGGTCGGTTTGGAAACTTGAGGGTTAAAGTTTAATCAGGTGGTTTAATGCTCCCTTTAGAGCTTTGGGTTGTTGGTGGTTTTCATCACTGAGTCTTTGCCAATGCTGTCTTGTTTTCCAGTGGTATTCCAGAGACAGTTCCGTGCTCCAGTGTGAACCGGCAGTGCTCCTCAGGTCTACAGGCCATTATCAATATAGCTGGTAGGTGTTGTGGGCACTGGGATCAGAGTCCATGCCTGCCCCACCCCAAGTGCTCATTCCTCCTGTCCTCCAGTCTCTCTGAGCAGTGAGAACAGTGACAATGTCTTGCGCAGCTGGGAATTTTCAGTGTGGTGTTAGTTGAATACTTTTATAACCTTGACTGGCTGAGTTTATCCCTAGAGAAGTAACTTGGTTTTCTGGGTATAAGTTCTACCATCACCTCCATATCAGGCAGCTTCCAGAAGGGTCCCTCCAGTCCTCTCTGGCCTCATGTCAGGTCATGGTCAGTTCTCAGCCCCATCAACTCCTTGGCCTGGCTCTTGCTCTGGCAGGCAGGAGGATGAGGGAATGCCCATTTGGCTTTGCCAGATGCCTCAGGGGTTTGGAAACCAGAGCTGGGATGGAAATGCTTTTGCTCTTGATGACAGTAAGAACGTTTGTGCACTGCTGTTACAGGTGGCATCCGAAATGGATCGTATGACATTGGCTTGGCCTGTGGGTAAGGAAGTTTTTTCACAGTACTTGCTTAGGCTTCCTGAAGATAACACTCTGTCCCTCTGCAATAGCCTGCCCAAAATTAGCTTTTTAACTAATCTCCAACTAACTATCGTCTTGGAAGACCAGCAGCTGTCTTGGAAAAGAAATTAATGTCCTACCCGTGCTAATAAGTGCTCTGCAGATTTACAGGAGCTGTTCTGTGGTGGATGAAAAGGCTGTTCTCTTCTTCAGTCCTAAAATCATAAGAAGTGTTTATTTTTTAGAGGATTATGTAAATGTTAGGTTGGTTTTGGAGAAATACTAGTGACCACATACACATTCACTTTAGAAGAACAAGTGAAAAAGTGTTCAGTAATCCTGAGGGTAAAATACTGAGTTTCTCTTTTTCTTTACCTTGGTGATTTTAAGTCTTTTTTGAATTATTACTGCACACAGTTATCCATCAGTCCTTAGGGAAAGGTTTATATTTACAACTTCTCAGCACCTGCACCTGCACATACACATTGAGCAAGATCAGAGGTTGAGAACACTCTTCCCTTCTTAGGTTGCTGCAAAATAAAGAGCTCAGCAGGACATGTGTGGGCAGAGTACCCGGTGTTCATGGGCAGTGCCTGTGCTTGAACACACGATGCTTTTCACAGCTTCACTTTGAAACAATTGTTTCAAGAAATTGCAGCTGAAGTCAAGTAATGCAGTGTCCTTAGAGCTGGTTTAAATTGCTCATAGCACTTACTGTAAGCTGCTTGGGGGGAAGACCTTATTTTCTGCTTGTTTTTCATTTTCCAGGAAGAGTGTATGTGTTATTTATTCTTGATGAGTGTATTTGTGTGGTGCAGAGTATAATTCAAACCCTTTTCCCATCGTAGGCTTCATAATCTGGACTGACTTTGCAAAAGCTCACCAGTCTTAAGTGATGGCAGTGTATTTCTGCAGTAAATTTGAGTACTTCAGTGTGTTAATTCATTTGTAGGTCAAAGATTGCAGCCTCTGGGATCCGTGTCTTAAATTCTTTGTATTGCAAAATATAAATGATGCAACTCACTGAAAGCTCTTTGTCATGGTTTGCTTAATACTTCTCTTATTCCACTGCCAACCTGTTCTTAAGCTCTTAAGTGGCATGTTTATGGCTGTTGACAATTTCACTGGAAAATCCAGCCCTTGAACCTTGGGTTTCTCATTATGTTTGAGGATAAAAGTGCCAGAATCATTAGCAATTCCTTCCTAGCTGTGGAAACACGAGAAATTAACTGCTGACATTGGTATCCTGTTCTAGTGAAACAAGGACCAATTGAACCTTGCAATCTGTTTTCATTTCATGATAATTCGTATATTGATGATTAAAGAGCTTCTGCCTCAGCCAGTTCTTAATTAGCAGTCTGTGTTTCTGTGGGATAATAGGAAAGCCTGTTGTCAGGATACTGAGTTTTGATCAGTCTTAATGAAGCAATTCAAATTTTTCCTGTGTTTAGTGTGGAAACAATGTCCCTCAGAAGTGCAAATAATCCTGGTGATATCAGTTCCAGCATGATGGACAACAGCAAAGCTCGAGACTGCCTTATTCCTATGGGGTAAGTGTTTCCCCTTCCCACAGTTTAAGGGTTTCCTAGATGCTCTGTCTCCTCAGTGGCTGTAGTTTCAAATCTATCTGAATTCAGGGAGCTTGGAGCTGTGTTTATCAGCATCCTCCTTGGCAGTGGTGGAAAATTAATGATGTGAAATGGGGGAAGAAAGGCTGAGAGAATTGGGATTGTTCAGCCTGGGGAAGAGAAGGCCTCAGGGTGACCTAATTGTGGCCTTCCAGTGCCTGAAGGGAGCATCCAAGAAAGATGGAGAGGGACTGTTTACAGGAGAATAGAGTGATAGAATAAAGGGTATTAGCTTCTACCTGAAAAGAGAGCAAGTTGAGATTACATACTAGAAAAAAATTTTTTATTCTGAGGCACTGGCACAGGTTGCCCAGAGAAGCTGTGGCTGCCCCATCCCTGGAAGTGTTCAAGGCCAGGTTGGACGGGGCTCTGAGCAACCTGGTCTCGTGGAAGGTGTCCCTGCCCATGGCAAGGGGGTTGGAACTAAATGATCTTTAATGTCCCTTCCAACCCAGGCCATTCTATGAAGATCTGCAACTCTGAGGAAAGATTTCCTTGTCTTAAGCTCAATGGCTTGATGAGCAAGAAGAATGGATTTGAACCTTGTTTTGGTCCTAGATTTGATTCAGGATTTGTTTCTGCCAGCAGTTCTTGGTTGAGAAGGCAGCAGTTGGCTTTGACACTAAAGCCAGTCCTTGTACCTTGTGTTGTGTCAGTAGAAGCCAACTGCACCTCCATTAGATGTGTCCTTGTATTAACTCTGCGATGTTGTTTTCCCCAGAATAACCTCAGAAAATGTGGCGGAGAAGTTTGGGGTTTCCCGGAAGAAGCAAGATGCCTTTGCCTTGGCTTCCCAGCAGAAGTAAATGCCGTTTTTGTTGGTTTTTTTTAACCTTTTAGTTAAGGGATAAATACAGCTAGAAAACAAACTGCTATTTCCCAAGAGAGATCAAGTGCAGCCTTCTTGTTGCCTTCCAATCCTTAATAGTGAGTAAGGAAGCTTGAGATTGTCTGACCCAAGATCAGTGCGTGTCCAGGGTTGTGTGTGATGAGGAAAACTGAACCCAGAGCTGTCCTGGGGATGGTGTGACTGACCCTGCACAAGTATCACCAGGCACATGAACCCTGGGCAGTGAGTGCCCCTGTGTTTTTCAGCACATGCCTATGGCTGAGGGGTTGGAACTGGATAATTTCTAAGGTTCCTTCTGATCCAAACCATTCCATGTTTCTATGATACAACCTCGGTGAGGTTTCTGGAACGAGTCAGTGGTGCGGTATTTTCACAGTGGCTTTGGCTCAGGATCACTGGAACCTGAATGTGGGAGCAGCAGCAGAAGGAACCTTTCCCAAGAGGGAATAGTTGAGCGCAGCTGTTTGTAGGGAACTGCTGAGCTTGTGAGAAGAGTGGCTTGTCCTTGCTGCAGGTGTTTGGCTCTGAGTCCAATCCTACCTCTGATAACCTTCCTCTTGGATTAAATCACTGCCAAAGTCAACTGACCCTGGGATCTGTGGGGCTGTACTGGCAGAGCAGTGGCAGGTGATGTGGTAAAGCTGCTGCCATCAAAGAGTTAAACTCGCTCTCAGAGCTCTGTTTAAGCATTGCCCCGGTCCAATTATTTATCTAACACAGGAAGCCACTGCACAGGGCAGTTAACCTTTAAATTCTGGCCCTGCTGCTCAGGGAACTTGGCATGCCAGCCTTTCTCACTGACGTGGGACTGATAACCAAAAGGGTATGTGAATGTGATCCTCATGCTCACGTGAGGCAGGGGGTGACTTTCTGGCCTTGGTCTCAGGATGTTTGTGGAGTTACTGAACTGTCCTTCAGCACTTTGCTCTAACTCACTTACCTGGGAGCACTAAATACTTTATTAGTAAAAGTGTAAAGTGATGAGGGGGTAAAACAAGCTTTTGGTCTCCAATCTGTATTCCCTTTAAAGGATTTACCTCTGGAAGGTAAATCCTGTAAATCAGCTCCACTTTGGAGGCTTTTAAAATACCTTGTTGATAGGAAAGATAAAATCTGTGTGGCCTGAGCTAATTCTAGTTTAGTTAATTGTATTCTGCCTACTTATATCCATCTGGTCATGGCAGCTGTTCCCTACTGCTGATTCTGATGTCTCAGGGACCAGGTTCTGTCCTCAATGCACCCTTACTGCTAAAGGTCTTGCCCAGAGCAGCTGTGGATGCCCCATCCCTGGAAGTGTTCAAGGCCAGGGTGGAGGGGGCTTGGAGCAACCTGGGATAGTGGAAGATGTCTCTGCCCATGGGCTGGAATAAGTGATTCCATTCTACAAAGTCACGCTGAACTATGCAATGTGCATTGCCTTGTTTGGAGTTAAAAGGCTACAGTTAAATGATAGAAGATTAAAGTCTGTGGTCTAAAGCTTAACTTGTCTTTAGTAGGACAAAACCAGGAACAAGCGTAACTTCAGCCATTCCTTAACTTGTCAGAAGTCATTGGCATTATGTGGAGGCTTAGCCCACGTGCTCTGTTTAAACTCTAAAAAGTAAGAATTGATGTTTGAACATCAGGATTCATTTCTTTTCATACACCTGTGATGTGACTGTACCTCTGGACAAGTACAGCTTCATGTTGGGAGCTGGTGGTGGTCAGTCACAGGTGTTGATGGGAACAGAACAGGGATCTTGCTCAGAAATCTGTGATCCTGTGACCCAGGTCTGGCGACAGTGCCCATAATGTTGATGTATAGGTGAAGAGTTTGTCTTCCCATGAATGGAAAGAAGAATTTGCCTGTTGTTTTGACGGCCACTCAGCAAGGATGTACCAAGTCTCACCTTAGTTCACTCTCTAACTGTTTTCCTTCATTGCAGTTCTCCTCCAAAATATTTTAACATTTCACACTCTTCTTGACCAGAGCAGCAAAAGCTCAGCAGATGGGACTGTTTAAAACTGAGATTGTTCCAGTGAAGACCACTGTTACGGATAATCAGGGCAACCAAAAAACAATCACAGTGAACCAAGATGAAGGGATTAGGCCCTCCACGACCCTGGAAGGCTTGGCCAAGCTGAAACCTGCCTTCAAAGAGGACGGAAGCACTACAGCAGGTCAGCTCAGCTGTTAAATCTGTGGTGTTTCTGTGGTTTACCTGCCTTGTTCTAGAACATGCTTAGGCAAAAAAGGTGTTAACAGGTCTTTTCCAACAGGTAATGCCAGCCAGGTCAGCGATGGAGCAGCTGCTGTTCTCCTGGCAAAACGCTCGAAGGCAGCTCAGCTGGGACTCCCAGTCCTGGGGGTGCTCCGGTCCTTCGCTGTGGTGGGGGTCCCACCTGATGTGATGGGCATTGGGCCGGCTTATGCCATCCCTGTTGCTGTGGAAAAGGCAGGTAAGAACCCCCTGTCATTCACACAGTGTTTGGCAAAGGGGAAATCAGACTCCCTGGGCGGAGATTTAAGATTACATTATTCAAGCATGAGCAGCTGTTGGCCACAGGAGCAGTGAAATTAAATTCCACACCTTAAAAGAGGTCCTGCCTCTGACTGTTGCAACACTGTTCAGTTTCCACAACAGTTAATACTAAATCACTCGAAGTGTGTTCACTTCTTAACATGACCAGCATTGGGGGGTGTGGGGTTTGTGTTTGGGTTTTGAGGGTTTTTCACTTTATGGCTTTGGCATCATTCCAGTGTCCTTAGGAAACTCATTAGGTTAATCAGCTTCTATAGCTGATGATTACTGTTGTGCCTGCCTGCCATGGCTATGGTCACATGCCCACCTGTAGCTTTATCTTTCAAAACACCCTTCAATCCTTAATCCCCCTGCAGAGAAATTACAATTAATCTAAGGAAATTTGGCAGACTCATTGGCACAATGCTATGAACTGTGATGTTTTGCAGTCTTTAGGCACTGCTGCATGTAAACACATGTACAAGTGTAGATACCCCACGTGGAGCCAAGGTCCTTCTTTTGTCATTAGTGGATAAGAACTGGAATTCATGAACAGGTGCTGTGAGTGAATTGTTCTCTTTGATATGAGGCAAAACCATCTCTTTTTAACTCCTTACTTTTCTGGCCCATAGGTCTGACTCTGAATGACATTGATATATATGAAATTAATGAAGCCTTTGCAAGCCAGGTGAGTGATCATCCTGTTTGAGTTGCTGCATTGCTTGGCAAGTGAGTGTATTTTCAGGTTAAGATTTGAACTTGTTCCACATATTACATCTTTAGCTGAATGTTATTAACATGTGCAAACTATTTTCCTTTTCCTTCAGATAAAAATAAGCTTAAGCAGCTTAATATTACGAAAAAAAGTCCACTGAATAAGAATGTGATCTTTGCTATTGCACCCTTGCAAAATCTGTTTCACCAGGGCTGTAATTTGTTGTCAGGTGGTGTTTGGAGGCAGGAAGCTACACTACTGTGTCTATCAGGAGCAGTGTGGCAGCAGGACCAGGGAAGTGATTCTTCCCCTGTACTCAGCACTAGTGAGGGTACACCACAAGTGCTGTGTCCAGCTCTGGGCCCCTCAGTTCAGAAAGGACATTGAGGGGCTGGGGCAGGTCCAGAGAAGAGCAACAAGGCTGGGGAAGAGACTGGAGCACAAGTGCTGTGAGGAGAGGCTGAGGGAGCTGGAGTTGTTCAGCCTGGAGGAGAGGAGAGGCCCAGAGGAGACCTCATCACTCTCTACAACCACCTGACAGGAGGTTGTAGCCAGGTGGGGGTTGGTCTCTTCTCCCAGGAACCAGCAGTAGGACAAGAGGACACGATCATAAGCTCTGCCAAGGGAGGTTTAGGTTGGATATTAGGAAGAAAGTTTTTTACAGGGAGAGTGATCAGACATTGGAATGGGCTGCCCAGGGAGGGTGGATTCACCGTCCCTGGAGGTTTTTAAGATGAGACTGGATGTGGCATCAGTGCCATGGTCTCATAACCATGGCAGTGTTGGATCAAGAGTTGGACTTGATGATCTCGAAGGTCTTTTCCAACCCGTCTGATTCTGTGATTCTCTACAAATCTGTGACATGTCTGTCAGCATGTGCATGGGCTCAGTTTGAGATGAAGTGGATAGTTTTAGCTCACTTCTCTTGTAACCAGTTCCACTCCTTTCCCCTGGGAAAGGTGGTCTAGCTGGAGTCAGGCCTCCGAGTTGGAGGAGAAGAGCTGAGAACTAACAGAGATGAGAGCATCAGCATGAAACCGTTCCCTGTGTCTTTGCAGGCTGTGTACTGTGTTGAAAAGCTGGGCATTCCCATGGAGAAGGTGAACCCCCTGGGAGGAGCGATAGCACTGGGGCACCCCCTGGGCTGTACTGGTGCTCGCCAGGTCGTCACTTTGCTCAACGAGCTGAAGCGTAGAGGGAAGAGGTGAGTGCTGAGGATCAGTGCTGAGGATCAGTGCTGAGGATCAGTGCTGAGGATCAGTGCTGAGGATCAGTGCTGAGGATCAGTGCTGACCTGAACACCCATGTGTGTGTAACTAACACAGGCTCAGGAGTCACCACAGTTTTGGGGTCACCCTTTTCCATCCCTTGGATGGCTTGGAATGTGAATTCCCCATGTTTCTCTTGTTGGCAAAGGAGAGCAGTGGGCAGCTCATATTTATTGTATTTTTTATTTGTATTTTTCTCCCAGATGATGTAAACCTGAGCTTGTCTTTTTCCTAATTCCATCTGTTGTTTCAGAGCCTATGGAGTTGTGTCCATGTGCATTGGAACTGGCATGGGTGCTGCAGCTGTGTTCGAGTACCCGGGAAAGTAACTCCAGTACTGACAGAACAACACAACAGCTCATTCTCTGCCTTCCCTAGTGATAGCAACTGATTTGCACTGTGAAATCAAGTGAGATTCATTACTAGATTTACAAATTTTAGGCAGAAATTGTGAAGTAGAATTAGTGGAACAGCTCTGCTAAGCAGGTGGGGACATGCAAAACTAGCCCGTGGCTTCCAGACGTGAGAAATTAGCTCAGCTGAAGTTCAACTACAGGCCCTGATCTGCTGATTATGAATTAATATTTTTAAATTAATTGATCTCTTTATTCTGTGAATATTATCAAAGAGAAGTAGTTCACAGGACAGTATTTTTGTATGGCAAATTGTCTAAAAGGGTCACTCAAAATGAAAACATCAGTGCACATGAAAAGGCTTTTCCAGGTGGGTGGTTTGTTTTGGTTTTTTTTAAGATTTAACCATTTTTCAAGAAGTTTAAAACAGCTTGTTTTGAAGCAAAGACTTGAGATTTCCTTTACAACTGTGTCTGTTGTATGCAAGTCATAAGCTGTGTGTGTCTGACAATGTCCCTACAGTGGAGGATGTGCTGTAGCTTGCTGCTGTTGGAGTTGCTCTGAAGCCTCCAGTGGGGGAAAGTGGAAGGACTGGAATGTGATCTCCAAGGAAGTGCCTGAATAGAAAGGTCCTGTTGGATTGCTAGAAGCCAGAAATTTGGAAGTGGCCATTCCATCTTTTACAGCACATGTCTAATTATCTGTTTGCATGACTCTATGGATAAGCTTGTGCCCAATCTTATTTACTTACCTAACATAAAGCAAAGTTCAGCATTACACTTACTGCAAGCACCACATGAACATCAGTGACAGCTCAGTCCTTCAGCACTAACACAAATGTGTGTTAGATCTTGTGTCTTCTGTCATCCCTTATCTGTTCTCTCTGATCTGAACAGGAAGATCACTGAAGCTCAGAGTTAATGGCTTGAAAAAGAAATGTACTCATTGACTTTGATGTGTTAGAAATGTTTAAGTTTGTAACAAACAGAAGTTCTTTGTCCTGACTCTTGTTTTTGCACTTAATAATACAATTGGGTTCTTGCAATACATTTGTTTCCTTTTTATGATGGTTGTTAGTTGAAGGTCATGATGAGTTAGAGCTGTTTGATATCTCACATTCCCATGCTGTAGCCTCTCTCACTCAGCAATCAGGCTGTATTTTAGAGCCAAAAGATGGAATTATTTAGAGGGGTTAAAGAGGCGTTAGCATCCTCAAGAGTCTTTTCACACTGAGGTTCCTGTGTATAACCTGAGTTGCTCTGTATGAGCTGTCATGCATTTTCTGTTCTTCTCCTGTGTGGATCCCTGCCCCTTCCCACACACACTGCCTTTGACAAAAACCTTTTATGTGAGGGGAGTGGAAAACTTTAACAGGCTCAGAAGTGGGAATTTCAGTGACCTTTAGCTAAAATAATACTAAAAACACTTAAAAAGAAGTGAGTAAATGGGAACCATGTGGGGGGAAAGAATGAAGAGGAATAAGGGTTCCTCCCTCTGTTGCTGTAGGGGATGTTCTCAAGACCCAAGCATGATGAAACAGGCAGGTTGGTAATTTTCCAAGGAGTCCAGGGAAAGCTGGCTCTTCTCCTTTTCATGTAAGGCATCGAGAAAAGAACCTGGGGAATGCTGGCCTATTCACCAGTTCTTGCTTTTATTATGTGTCAATGTCCATTTTAATGTCAAACAAATAAACGAGGCAAAGCAAAAGCTACTTTAAGCTAGGAACAGTCTTTAGCTGTAATTTGAGGTGTGCTGGGCCATGCAAAGGGCTTTGACCAGACTTACACAGCTGCTTTGCAACTTAAAACCTTGTTCTGTGGCTAATGCTAAGCTTATCACAGCAATAAAAGCAACAGCATAGGATGAATTTATGACTGGTACCATGAGAATTTTTTTCTTCCTAACTTAAATTTTCATTCTGCTAAAATTCCAGTCCCTATTAAAAGAACAAAAGTAGACGAAAATACAGGCTCAGCTGCATTCAGCCTGTTACCTTGACCTTTGTTCCACACTGTCTTGTTTAAAGGTCGTCATCATTCCTCTTGTGCATTCCTCGTCCTCTGATGTGCAGCTTGCAAGGCTTCTCTCCCAGCACTCCAGCAATGGTCACAAGAGCTTCATAGTCAGTGTTGCTCCTAAAGCACACAGCAAAAAGACAGTTCAGCTACAGCAACATGCAGTTCTGTGTGGAGGAGAAAGGGGAGAATGGTGTCCTAAGAGTGCTCCAAGTCACAATCACAGGTTCTTAACATTAGTGTCAAGTCCAGGTGACAGTCTTACTTCCCAGGGCCGTGCCCCACAGGTACATACAGGGTGTTGGAAAAGAATGGTTGAGTCTGTGCCTGAAGACATTTGATTATTAACCTCATGTCTGTAAGAAGAGTATCTTTCTACTTGTAAAATTGTATTTAAATAAATGAAACAAAGCTCTGCTGAGAGCAAACACCTGCACTGCCTTGATGTGAAAACTCCTCCCTGTGACAGGCAAAGTTTGAAGCAGAAAAGTTTCTGTCACTCCCCTAAGACACGGGGCAATCGGTAGAGTCTAGATTGTAAATGAACATCAAAAAGGTTACAGCAAGTGTAGTTTTGTGCTAAGTCTCACAGCATAATTTGCCAAAGGCTCATGCCACTCAACATTCCTGACACTGTTCCTCTGAAGGACTTCTCTGCGTCCAAGTGACGGTTCTGTAAAGGCCTGAGGCAAACGCCTGTTCTGCCAGACAGCTGTTGTTTCTTCCTTCTCATAAAACAATTCCCCTGCAGGAAAACCACTGATTTGGGGAGGTGAATTATTAAAATCACCTCACACCTTGCATATAATTATTTCCTAATGCCATGTTGGTCCTGTGCTCTGCTGTGTTGGGAATTCTTCATCTGGAGCTGCACAGATGAGCTGGCTGCTACACAGTGACATCTTTGCTTTCTGGTACTTCCAGGCATTTCCAGACATGCTGATTAGTGTATTTGTCAGACAAAATGAAGTGCTTCAGGCATATTCAGAAGCATTCCAGAAAAATCTAGGCAGTCAGGAGCCTGGGGAGGCCTCTGGTCTGCCATGCTGCTCTGAGCAGGGACAGCTTAGAGCAGCTGCTCAAGGCTTCATTCCATTGACAGAGCAGTAGCTCCAGAGATGGAAATCACTGGATCATGTTCCAGAGAGATGGAAGTTATGACAATAACTCAAGTCACCTACAGTTTGCTTCCTGAAACTTCCCTGTCAGCAGTTTTCAGACCTCATTGAAATCACTAGGATAGACTTGTCTTTAATTTCTTTGCTCTGATTAGGGAGATTTAACTCCTGTAAGAAAATTCAGCTTTCATTACAAATTATCTTCTTGGAAGTTATCACATGGTGGCAGGAAGTTTAAGTCAGCCAAGATTTATAGAATGGTTTGGTTTGGGAGGGACCTCAGAGTTCATCTTGGTGCAACCCTGCTGCCATGGGCAGGGACACCTTCCACTATCCCAGATTACACCAATCCCCATCCAACTTGGCCTTGAACACTTCCAGAGGTGGGGCATCTACAGCTTCTCTGGCAACCTGTGCCAGGGCCTCCCCACCCTCACAGGGAAGAATTTCTTCCTAATACCTAATCTAAACCTGTCTTCTGTCAGTTTGAATCCATTCCCCCTTGTCCCATCACTCCATGCCTTTGTCCAAAGTACCTTTCCAGCTCTCATGTAGCCCCCCCAGTCTGAACAACACCAACTCTGTCAACAGCAAGACTTCTGTTAACTGTACCTTGCAGTAAAGCTGATCTGCAAGATCTCTCTGGTAGGAGCGTCCCCTTCACGTGCCTCCAAAATGCCATTAGTCGGGAAGACTGAAAATACTTCCAGGGTGTTGGGCCTTTCCTGTTCTTCTGCAGTGAAAGGGCCAAATATCAAACAAAGCCATACAAGACCTTTTATGTAAGTATACACAGCATGTAACACTCATAGCAATGCATCTCTTTGCTGGGCAACTAATAAATCACGTCTCACACTGTTAGAGGGTTTCTGTGCATGTGCTCAGCCTCTGTTTTCATCCTCTAATCCAGGGCTGTGATCAGTGGCTTCCATGTTAAAATAATAAAGCCCTGATCTTCTTTCCTCTGGAGCCCATCTGTTGTTAACAGCAGCAGACACACGCTCAAACTGAGCTCATGAGGAGCTGCTGCTCCTTGTTGCCCCTCAGGATTGATTTATAAATGAGCAGAGCATATCCACAAATTGTGAGGGCTAAGAGTCAATCTTTTGGTTAAATGAGGAGCAACTGTGGAAATCAGTAGTGACACACTGATGTCAGAAAAGGTAGAGGGCAGACAGGAGAGGAAAAGCCCTCATAAGAAGCAGACCACATATGTTTGCACCCAACATCATCACATATTGCCTCTATACTGAGTGCATGCAGCCTTAATAAAAGCACTGAATATGAAACTATATAACAAGGAAATCAATTGCAAAACCAGAATACCCAGCAAGGCAGTCCAGTAGCTTCTACAGCCGCTCCTGTTGTACAAGAAGACATGTTCTGTCTTGGTCTGTGCAACAAAGCAGGTCAGGAAATCAACTGTGTTGCAAGAGAGCTCCAGGACTGGAACACTGAGATAAGCAGTCACTGGGACCAGCTGCAAAACAGAAGGAAGGGAAAGGAGAATAAAATCCACCGCATTTTTGTAGAGCTTTAATAATACCTGCTCCAGCTGGATCATTCTTAACCCCAAGCACTGAATCAAGAGTCATTGTTCTATGTTCTTTCATAATGGTTAATTCCCATCCTGCAGCCTTGAGTGAATTAAGTTGTTCCTTGTGTTACTGTTTTGGGACAGGTTTTCAAAGCAGACACTGTAGTCTTAATGAAGTAACACAGAGTGAACATTCTCATTTGTTTTTAGGATTTTCTGTGGAGCTGCAGACATTACAGCATCTCGCTGTCCCTCAGGACTGTATGTGGCCCGCTGTGAGTCACTCAGTTTGTGCAGATTGCTCAAGATTATTATTCAGTTGACTGTATCTTAGATATAGTGCTTGTTCTTGCACAGGTCAGTCCTCAGAAATCCCTAGTATGAAAAGAAAATAGAAGTGCCTGCAGCGCCCTGGGCCTGCTGAAGGCTTGGTGGGGGTTACAGATGATCAGTCTTTAAGCGCATGTGGGCTGTGACCACACTGCGGGGGTTTGATGGACTCAGGAGCCTTTCCAGAAGCTCTTGGGTGCTGCAGGAGGCAGTGCCTGGTGACTCAGGCACTGGCTTGTTCCCTGGGACAGCCCTGACCCTGTCTCAGAGTCACACTGTGACTGGGTGTGTGGCCCTTTGATTGAGCCATGTCATCCAGGCCGTCACCCTGTGCAGGGGACTGGGGTACCAGCACCAGGGTGGGACCCCAAACTCTCTGTCCACCTGAGAGTCACAGCAACCCCATGGCCATTCAGTTTACCCGGATTACACCATTTACTTCAGAGGTGCCTCTACTTCAAGGCTGAATAAATCCTAATCCAAGTCAGAGATGCTGCTGGAACAGCCCTTCCCCAGGGCCCAGGTTCTGATCTCACCTGGGCAGTGTGGTTACTGTGCTCAATGACCAGATTTTGATTAAACTGCAGCTTTCTCTCTCCGTTCTCCAGCTGGAGCACTTGGGATCCAGGAAGCAGCTGGGTATCTGGCAAGTGTTGATACCTAAGTAACTCCAGAGTTATGTGGAATGACACTTTCACCTATGGTAAGAGAAATCCAGATGATTACCACATAAGAAGACACTGTGTGCAGGAAATCCAAAGTAAATATTACACAAAGGCCCAGGCAAACATTTTCCCACTGGAACCCAAAGGTGTCATGCCAGCAGCCAAATTCCCACTGGAACAAAGCATTATAATTAGCAAAAAACCACAGCTATTTCCTATGAATCCAGTACACGGAGACAGAGTGTAAAGGTGAACAGCTGATCTCTGAACCACAGGGGAGAAACAGTCTCTAGGAAGCTAAAGGTTCTGAATTCCTGAGATTACAAATACCATATTCCCAAAGGTGTCTTAGGCATATAAGTTCTCTTTCTTCCCACACACGGAGAACTGAGATGTGTGTCAGAATGAAAACAGCAATATGAGAAGCACACTTCAAAAATGCAACTGTTATTCATTATTTGCACCTTACCTAACTCTCTACTCCAGGACTTTGTTTCCTTTAAGGTAATTTCTACACCCAAAACTAATCAAATTTTCCTCTCCTTACGCTGCCTGCATCTAATTTAAGGAAATGAGGGACTTTGGAAATCTTTTAATATGTCCAGCATATATATGGCTATTGATTTAGGTGAGCTCCAAAAACCAAAGGGGTTTCTGCAGGAGTTTGCAACAGGTCAGAGTTTATGGGTAAAGCACATCAGCACCACTTCAGAAAAATAATCTTTACTTGCAATACAGCAGGCAAAATGGCAGTAATTAGCATTTGCTAATATTACAACTATTTCCCCTGAAGTTGGGAGATTTCTATGCTGGTTGTGTTTTTCTGTGGTTCATCTGGGCCACACTAACACACCAATTACTAAACTCTCTATTCTGGCAGAGGATTATTATTTTTGAGCCTACCAGCATGTTTTGCTGTGGATAAAGCACATGTTGCGGTTGGTGTTCTCCTTCCTCCTTCTTGCTGTGGGATGTTTTGGTGCCCTTTTTGGGATCTGCGCTGGACACGCTGAAGGGCATAGACAGAAGGAGCCTGAAGTACAGAGGAACCTTGGTGCAATTGATGAGTTTCAAACTCTGAGTCATCACCGAATCTGTCAAAACCTGGGGGAGAAATGATTCAGAACTGGTCAGTTTTAACTCCCTGGAGAGGTTTGTGCTGGTCTGGGCACTGAGCACCAGCGGGGATCTGAAGGACTTCACCCCAAAAGCAACCCAGTATTTTTTTACTTGTGTTTTTCAACATTTCTTGAGTGAAAAACCAAAATAAAAATATTGTAATAAAGTCTAAAAGCCTTTGAATGTCAAGAGTCAAAGAAACTGGAGTGACTCATTCTGCTATTGGACCTTCATGTCCTGAAAATCAGAACTTACTCTTCTACTTACAAACTCCTCTATGAAAAAAAGAGAAAGTTGTATAAAATAGGCATTGTCTGAACTCAGCTTTGCTTATTCCTGGCTAATAAGTACTGGTAGTACTTTTTTTTCTTCCCTATCTTGTTATGTGCAATATAGAAAATGAGGCTGCTGGTGATAAAGATGCATTTTCAAAGCCATGTGCACACAGCTCTGAATTCTCACAGCAGTACAAACCAGCCAAATGCATCAGAGTGGGAAATACTTACTCCTAACAGAGGCTTAGCAGGAAGGAGATCACTTGCCACTGAATAAAACACCATTCCTCTGTCGTGACCCATCTCTACTTTTAACCTGAGGGTAAAGAACCAGAGCTGGTCAGAGCCCTGTCTCCAGGCTGACCCATCCCCTGTGGGTACCAGGCATCAGC